TACCACCTCTGCGGACAGCCCAGTCTGTCTCAACCTCTCCCTTTCAGGAGCCAAACTTGGAGAGGTTGGCCGAGCACCGGCAGTGTGCCTATGGCACATGACTCCTGTGACAGAGCCCCCCAGACCTGAGGCACAGGCCTTGGCTCCGTCACTACCAGCTTCGTCACCTCTGCGTACTATCCCGCCAATCTGCGGCTGGGGGCTACCAGGATGACTAACAACCCTTCCTGTCTCACCCACTCCAGCAGGAGGGGGCGGTGAGATGGAGTGGAAGGAAAGCATACAGCAGGCTTTTTGGCCATGGCGCGTGTCCATGCCCAAGGGCGGACTGTCCTGTGGTAGAATCAAGAACCACAGCAGGCTGTGGGCGTTGTGCCATCTGGCAAACAGGTCCACCTGCGCCGTTCCGAAGCAAGACTAGATCTGCTGTATTATATTGGGATGCAGTCTCCACTCGCTCTGTGGGGGACCGCCCCTCGACATGAGGTCGGCCCCCCTGTTCTCCGAGCCTGGGACGTGAAGGGCCTTTAGAGACAACAAGTGTGCTGCAGCCCACGTCCATAGGTCCTCTGCTAACGTTAACAGAGCTGCGGATCGGACTCCGCCCTGACTGTTGATGTAGGCAACTGTTGTGTGGTTGTCTGTCATCACCAGCACGTGCCTGCCCTGGACTAGGGCTTTGTGGTGCTGGAGGACCAGAAACACCGCCTGGAGCTCCAGTTGGTTGATGTGTCAGCTCACCCCAGGAGGCCACACACCACCCACTGCTCTCCCCAGGCAGGTCCCTCCCCATCCGGTTAGAGACACATCCGTGAACACTGATACGTATGAGGATATCTGGCCGAGCGGTACCCCCACCCTCAGGTGATGAGGGGACCCCCAGAACCACAGGTCCCTCTGTACTGACTGGGGGGGCGTCACCATGCATCGCTTGTGCCTCTAGAGGTTTAGATGCAGGCTGGTAAACCAGCGTTGTGGCCACCACATGTGTAGCAGGCCCAGGGTAACCACTGGATGAGCTGCTGCCATGAGCCCCAGCAGCTGCATCACTGACAGCACCATCACAGCAGTTCCCAGGAGGAGCTTGCGGACCGCTTGAAGAAGAGTCGTCTGTCTGAGTTCCGACAGATGAGCTCTCAGGCTGGCTGAGTTGAGCACAACATCCCAAATTCTCCACCTCCTGGCGGGGATAGGGGGAGCTCTTCTCCCAGTTGATTGCAAAGACCAGGTTGTTCAGATGCAAAATCAACTGAGCTGTGTGGAAAATTGGCCATATGAGGAGAGATAGTACCCATACAGTCCAGTAGAGGGCGGAGCCTGTGTGAGATAGAACAGATGTTGCTTCAAGTGACGCTTTGGAGGAAAGGACGTCTCATTTCTCTAAAAACACGATTCCTTGTTTCTTCTCCCCATTCACGGTGAGCTGGACTGAAGTGGAATTTATACTTCTGCATCGAATCGAATCGACGACGTAGCCTCTACGTAGCCCCCTACCATACGCCGTCGCGTACACCTTAGCCTGACGTGCACCACCTCAAATGTATCTACACGTCGAGGCGACACGGACCATAAGCACTGTGATTGGTCGGCTGGGTAGCCCTTATGAAGTGTCCCGTGCTGTGAAGTGCGTAGCCTACGAAGTAGCTACTCAGGAGTATAAATCAACCTTAAGATGCAAGGAAAAACGCAAGTGAGGAAAACATGCATAAAATTAAGTGGACTGAGAAGCCATGACTTACAGTAACTCCTCAAAGCCTCCATAACTGTATACATGAACTTGTAAAGCACTTATCCACAACTACTGCTTAAACATCACATCACATGCACGCACACACATTAAGGAAAACAACACACACACACAGGTTTTTTTTCTCTTGTTCTTTTTATTTGTTTATTTGTGTCTTGTTCCACATGAGCTGTTAACCTCATGGGTCCTTTGCCTTCTTCCGCCTCTTCTGCCACCTTCCGATTTACTCTCAAGGGTACAAGCCCTGAGCTATCCCTCCAGGCTCATGACTCTTTAGACTTCGACATACAGTATACACATGACACCATTTAATAAGATTTAGTACTGCAATGTAGTGGCGGCACTGAGCACAGAGGTGCTGAGCAGCACTCCAGCTGGTGAGTGAGGAAGAAATGTTTTCAGTTTAAATCAGATCTTTCTCAGTCAGCGTAGATTATGTTTTTTCTTACTTTACACCCACCTAATAGCTCATGGTGAATCTGATGTTTTGGGTGTTGCAGTCTCTCCTGTCACAGAACAAAAGTGATTTTGTAATAATGTTTTGGTATTTATGCAGAAATTTCAACATTTTATTAATGAGATTATTAGTAACTCTTGGCCAAATCTTCCTACACCTTCCCCTTTGGATGCAGATGATTGTCTGACACAGAGGAGGAGTGAGTGAGGTACACATTACTTGTTTGACAGAAAGAGACAGCAGTGGTGTCTGAGCAGAACTGAGGTGAAAATGATGACGCTTCGAAAGCCAGAAATTTAGTCTAGCCTTGGTCTTAAAAATAATAATAATACAATTTTTATCTATATTTGCACAGATGTTTTGGAAACACAAAGTGTAAAACATTAACCAATGCAAACAGACAAAAAATAGCAACCACAGAAAGACTGGTTTTCAGCCATAACCACACGCCTCTAAGACCTATCTGGTTTGAATGATGCGACTTAAAATGTTTCCAGTACATATTAACCCTTTCTGACACTGTTTCAGTACTCCGTCCATCACTTTACACAAACTGAGTAATTGACATTCACAAGATGCAGCATCACTGCTTTCATTGGAAAGGTCCAAACTCACACTTGCACAACCAGATAGACAGCATTCACTTTGTGCATCTTAAAAGAGAACTTTCTTGCTCCTAAGTCTTCTTTTAGTTCATGAGAACATGACTGACAGTACACCAATGTTAATTAGAATAGAAAAATAAAGATGTTGAGTATGCTAAAGGCTAGCTTCAAGCAGAAATGACAGCAAAATGATGAACATGAGAGCACTCAGTGTTTTTGTAGTACAACAGCAGGAAGAAGGACATTTTGGATATTGTGGTATTTTGGATATTTGTTTTAACCAGCAGTTACTGAAACATTGTCTAAGTTTAACCATTCACTTGGCATAAAACAGCTGCAATGTTTTGATAATACATACAGATACCACAGTCTACATATCATATTCTCCAGACGTAACGGACGGGTTTTGTAAAGACCCCAGCAATGATAACATCACATAATTTTTATTTTGTTTCATTAAAAACAAAACAGTGAATGCACCCTTCAGCTAAATGTGTTGTGTAGGAGCTGGGCCTTGGCGGAAGATTGAAGGATATGTATAAGGGTCAATAACAAATAATTCAAGTCATCTGCAGTGGATTTACACCTTAATGTCAAAATACATTAACATCATAGCGGGCCAGATTTATCAATCCATGGCCATCATGGACCTCATGAAGCAGGCTACTTTCAACAATGATCACTGTAATTGACCAAAACAGCTGCAGGCATCTGACACACAGTTTCTCTCGACTGTCTCTCAGTATCATAACGCCACCGAGCTAGCCCCATTAGCCGTGCAATATGCTAACTCCAAGTTAGCTAACCTGCAAAACAAACAGTAAAACAACACAAAACACGGCAACACTTACAGCTTCCAAGTTTTAAGTCGGGTCACGTACAGCCCATGGCTATCCGTCCTTGAACCGTTACAGAGCTCGAAACGCTTTTGGAATTTTTTAAGCACTAATGTATTAATTTAATACGCACTGAAGTATGAACATTGCAGTCGCAGTCTGTGCTTGCCATCCTCTGCGGTTGTCTTGGCCAATAGCACGGTATTTAAATTTTGCGGTTATCGCGACAGCCCTAGTTGTGATTCTACACAGCAAACCTCTCAGCTATCTGATATTATGTCAATCCTTTGCATCTCTGATATATATTTCTGTATTGTATTTTATGTCTTTTGGTGTGAAAAGTTTTAACAATGAACGTTTTTTGAAAAAATAACAAACGGATGCGTCAACACTCATATTCATGTATGTAGTCAGTTTGAGCAACAGAATAAGCAACAAAAACAGCCCGCCTCTTTGCTTTGAGAACACCCTTCCTGGGGCAAACTTCATTCAACGACATTGCAGAGCTTCAGTCATACGCACTATGATGAACTTTACCTTGATGACAGCTTTCATTCTCTGCAGCCTCAGTAAGTACTGGCGCTGAATTTCTCCCAACTTAAAACATATTTACTTATTACTCACTTGATGAGTTCTATTATATTGTTATATTGTTTACCGTCATGTTACTTCATAACTAGAAATTCTTCTTGTTTGCTGTTTGTTTCAGGCTGGATCTCTTTCTCAGTTTCTGAGTCTCAGACTGTGGAAGTCCAGTCTGGTGAAGACGTCACACTGCTGTGCTCCAACATTTCCTTATATGACGCTCCAACATTCTGGTTCAGACTTGTCCAGAGAACCAACATCAGCTGTGTCTCTGTTATGATCTCATCTAATAGCCAAGTTTCATTCTGTGATGGATATCAAAATGGAAGATTTGAAATGAGCTCCAACATCTCTGCTGTCTTTCTCAAAATCAAAAAAGTGGGTCTATCTGACTCTGGATTGTATTTCTGTGGATTTTACGTAAAGGCACATCCAAGTTTCAGTGTGATATATTTAGACATTAAAGGTAAGAGTATTGTAAAGTCTTTTCTGTCTTTGGATTCCCATTTTTCAGTTATGTCTTATTCTGCTTATATTGTAAAAAAGACATTTTGATAATTGTCTTTAAACAACATCGTGTGCAACAGTGGCTTCAATAATTTTTACATAAATCTGCCAAATCAAGACAAAATTTTTCTTTATGTCATTAAAAGGCAGCAATGAGCCGCATGATGACGTGGACAGCAAGTGTGAAAGTAAGATTCTCCATAAGATTTCCTTCATTGTGCAGATAGAGAAAATAGAGTCTAACTTAATGATCTTTCTTGTAGAAGAGTCTGATGGAATAGCAAAGCTGACGAGTGTGATCCTGGGCGGCCTGACTGTTTTCCTTGTAATAGTCATCATCGGTCTGCTTGTTAAAAACAGGAAACTTCAGAAAGGTACTTTTTTAAGAGCTACTGTTTCTATCTCCCCCTGCCCACTAACTCTTAAGTTGTGTGAATATGTTGAAACAATACAAATGTTCATCTTGGTCACCTGATTAGATGTATTGTCTCTGTCATTCAGCTGCCAGAGAAAAACAGAATCCCCAACAGCATGAGGTGAATTAAGTTTCACTATTATCTGTTTTAATATATTAAAGGTGGTTGAATCATGTCAAGTTTTTCTCACAAACTCAGCTAGTTGACGTGTGTAACTGTGTGTCTTCTTTACAGAATCTGGACTCTGATGACCTGAAAGCACTGAGTTTGTATTCAACAACAATAAGAAACAGGAGGCCTGCATCAGAGAGAGAAGTGGAAACTCATGTTGTTTATGCTGCCAGCAGATAGACTCAGAGTGGAACTGATGCTTTTGTCATATTAACCCACTGTATTGTATTAGATTAGATTATGTACAGTGTAATTCCTCTGAATTATGGTTCAGTCCTTTGTACTAACAGTGTACCAGTGGTTTACGTACATATAGGTAGGCACTTAGAAGAATATATGACATAATGACGAAGTGACTACAAACTACGTTGTTCCTTCATAAATTAGTACTTAACCGTCCCATTGTGTTCAAATAAGTTTTACAGGCCTATTTAGCCAAGAATGTGTTTGGTTGTTAATTTGGTCACATAATCTGAGTTACCGTAAAACTTCAATGAATAGCCGAGTACCAAATAGCCGCCTTCCTCCTTTACTGGCCTGGTCTGGGAACACATTTTGACAAATAAAAGCCTGCCTTAATTAAACGCCTGGTCTGGTTTTTATAGAAGTTCTTTGGATGTATAAAACCTCTTAATCCCTGCGGGGTCGCCCGCTTTAGCTGCTTCTAAGCTGCTCAGATTGCTAATATAAATATGTTTAAAGGTATAATCAATATGTCAATATGGACATGCTGAACACTGTTAGATCTGTTGGATTCTCCACAATACCACTGTCAAGTGTCTTCTAGATTTACTGGTGTAACTTGCATGGCTACAAGAGAGAAAAAGGGGGAAAAAGTGCTGACTCAGGTTAACTTTGAGTCCGTTCCTTGATTATTTATATTCCTTTATTCTGTAAAGGTCCACCGACCAAAAGAATCAAAACAGCTTGTTAGAAAAATTTATCCAAGTTGTGAATCCTGTCATGTGAAGTCCACTGCTCTCAGTCTGCTAACTTCTCTCATCCTGCACCGTGTTGTTGTTTTCGTGAGGCTGCTGCCTTCAAAATAAAAGCGCATAAGCAGTCTGTTGGAGCTAGATCAAATGAATGACGTGTATTTGATATTATTTGATCATTTTTACATAAGTATTATTCTGAAATAAATAAACTATTTCATAGTAGTTTCAGTTGTGCAAAAAGAATTAAAGGCCTGTCCCATATGGACACCTGTCCCAAATAAAGGCAGGGTTAATTTAGTGATTTTAGCAAATAAAAGCAATTTTTCCACCATTCCATTCAAAGTTTTATGGTAGGTATATCTACGTAAAGAGCTCTGCTCCATCATGTAGGCGACTTGGGTTCAAGTCCCACTAACAGTGCTTTAGAAAACTGTCTGAATACCCTGTAGTTAACCCTGTAACTTACAAAGGAAGAACTTCATTTGTCTATCTTACTGTGGAACTACAGACAAAAGTTCTATTTTTACTATTTATTTCCTGGGATGAAATGAGGCCATACTCAAAGCTGAAAAAGGTAAGCTTGCACACCTTAAGGAGCAGTAATGTTGGTCAAACACAACTGCCAGGGAGAAAAATTTTCATCTTCGATCAACTTCGATGACTTTCAACTTCGATTGCCCCGAAACACAAGTAAGTGGCATCTAGGGTGGGTAAATTCTGTCCAGTGATGGCAGGCGAAGACATCAGGCCATAAACTGTGAAGTGTCCATTAACAAAGTTTAATAATGAGGTGAATGACAGCTGAGATGGTCTTCAGAGGTCGACAGTATCCATAATGATGCAGTGTCCCCTGGATTTTGTTCCAAAGTGAACACACATGCAGCTGTAGTTGTTTTAAGGACTCCAAAATTATAAAGGAACAAAAGGTTGCCTGTTTGTTGCTTATAAGGCTGTTTGGTTATAAAATAGAGTCATATGTAGAAAGTGATGCAAAAGTCATAACCCCATCTTCCCTGAAACATCCAGATTTATGATCAGTAGTTTTATGGTCAAACTGTACCCTGTAATAATAGAATAGGTACCCAGTAATTAGAAATAAAATAACATAACAATAAGTTCTTGTTTGACAGGAAGAGACAGCAGAGTGTGGTCTGAGCACAGCTGAGGTGAAAATCATGAGGCCTGTTAGATCAGTGCTCTGCAAGAACAAAGTCTGAAATACTGGCTTTCCTCTGTCAAGTAGACAAAGTGATCTGGTTCTACATTTGTATAGATGTTTTGGAAACTGGATATTTCCTCTATGATGTCAATGTGTTACATGTCTAAATAAAACATACAATATAGTTTTAAATGATCGGTAGTTGTACATGTGAATATAAATATTTATGACACCCACACACCCATATTGTTGCACTTTGCAGCTTGGTGATAAACAGCACTGTCTATGTTAGGGAGATATCTGTATCTGCCGCTTCACACCTCTAACAGTCTCAGACGCTATTTTCACATTGTGTTTAAACTTCTACTGGAATTGAAACTGTGAAAAGATGCTTAAAGCAGAGTGACACTTTAACAGCCTCACATGAAATGTGCTCAGTCCTTTCAGTGCAGCTGCCTGCATGTTATTTACATGAAAAATGTCAATTACTTGTTACTTGTTACTCATTTTACTAAAAAAATCACAATGCTGTAGTAACTACTCAAAAATTGAAGGAACTTCATTATATTATTAGCTGTGACTAAGATCAGTTCAATCAAAGGTTCCAACAACCAGTTACCATTTATAGTTGTTCTGGTCAGCTAAAGGATGGGTGAAAAGCTGGCCATCATAGGGGTGAGGAGACGCCAGATGATTTAAATATGGGGATAAAGAAGTACATTTTCAGACAGTCTCTCCAAGAAGACATTCATAGTGCTGCATTAGTAGTTCAGTGACTATAAATAAGGCAGGGAACCCAACTTCATGGTCATTCTCAACGGTCACATTCACAACAAACATTATTAGCTTTTATAACAACACACAAAGACTGCTTCATAAACCATCCAACACATCTTCAGTTTCAAGAGCCAGGGCAGTGAAGTCAGTTGCACCTCCTTAAGGAATAATAATTCATAAATTTTTGTGCACTATTAGAGTGTTTGTTTTGCACCTGGCTTTTCCTGGATGGCCTTGTGGTGATTATTGTGAAGCTTTGTTAGTTCTGAGTTACAGGAGGTACTTCCCTCTGACAGAATGTGGCATCCAGGCAGAGTGTACAGAGTACACAGGTCTTTAGTTTCAATATTATGTATCCCCTGCTGGTGAAAACGTTGCTCTGCTCCACCATAACTGGTTTTCCCTCCCGCATACTCAGCTCTTTTCCCATTTTGAAACAGGTCCTGTTTCAAAAAAGGTAAGGCTGTAAGTATTTTGTGTCTTTTTTTTGGAAATAAACAGCTATACGTTCAGTTGGACCCTGGCAAAATAATGACTGTGATGTAAAATGGGCTGTAGGACATAAAAGAAAATCTTGGTTGGCTGATATCCTACCTAGTCTTTAACCAATTGACTGGTCGATGGGGAATAAAATATGCATGGTATCTTTAGTTTAAGCAAATCGGCAACAGTTCCGAAGCAAATTCATTCCTACAGTTTCTTTTTCACACGTAGCTATCAAGTATGTCTACCAAGTCATTTTACATACAGCAGAAACACACACACACAGGAGGCAGAAACTCCGCAAAGCAGCTGGGCCGGACTCTGTCTCCCCATCCACCCTGAAGCACTGTGCTGATCAGCTGTCTCCAGTGCTCTCAGACATTTTTAACACCTCACTGGAGACATGCCATGTGCCAGCCTGCTTCAAAGCCTCCTCCATCATCCCTGTCCCCAAGAAACCAGCGCTTAACATAGAATGTTTCGTGACTGTTACTCATTTGTCCAACATCTCCCAAGCACGTGGGAGTAGCCACATTTCAACATGCTAACAGCAAGTTTAACTGGCTACTAACATTTTACAAATTAAAAACTAACTAACATGGAAAAGATGACTTTCAGACTTTCAAGTCTGAATACAGATCATGGACAGCTGATATTGATTAGTCATTGAGCTAGAACCGTTACCAGGGCTTCATTGAGAAAGCAGTCTATAGTAACATGTCAAATTATATTATTTTATGTTTCATGGTGTAAAAGCAGCTGTAATCACTTAGGATAATTTATCAGATTGCATTTATTCTCACCAAGCCCAGCTGTGTAAACTGCGTTTCTGTAAATTCTTTTCTTATGAGAATCTGGACTCCAGGTGGCAGGAGGTCTGCATCAGAGACAGAAGAGGAAGCTCATGTTATTTATGCTGCCAGCAGGAAGAAACTGTAACTGAACAGATGATTTATCATATTAACCTGCTGCCACCCAGCAGAAGGACATGGTTGTTGTTTATTTCCAAGTTCAGTTCAGTTTGCATTTTCTTCCTTGTGTGTTTTCTGTCACTCTCTCTCTCTCTCTCTCTCTCAGCTAAAGTCTCTGTCTTTCTAATTTTGTCTTCCACTGATCTTCATCTAAGAGAACAGTTGACATCAGAGGGAGGGAGGAGTGAGTGAGGTACACATCGCTTCACAGGAAAAGGCATCACTGTGTGGTCTGAGCACAACTGACATGAAGGTCACAAGGCCTTTAAGGTCAAAGCTTGTAGCAAAGTATAAAAAGAAACTCAAACCTGACCTTCTTGTGTTTAACTAAATGATATCAGCCTCTTTATTTGTACAGACTGAAAAGATTTTGGAGAAAATAAAACAATGATGGAATAAACCAGCACCCTTTGGTGACAAACATTGTCTGAGTGAGTGAAAAATAACACCTACACCAGGAAGACTTTAGCTTTGACCACAAACAGCAAATGACTTGCTGATCTCATAGACCACGAGGAATGTTATTTTTAAAAAGATGTCAGTCAATCTCTTACACAAACCTCTTCACCAGAACACACATCCACATTACTCAGCCATAGCGGGACTGTTGAATCAAGTAGCTGGTGTCTTGAACATACCAGCAACTGTTTCTCTCTCTTGGTAGCCTTGTGTATGTGTAATGGATGCTGCGTATAACAGCAGCAATACACTTTTGCTTCAGCAAATATCCAGTATGATAGCGTACGGTGTCTTGTGGGAGCAATTCTAAAATCTTTGTTGAAATTGATTACATAAATATATCTAATAATTCAAGTAAAACCAAGACACATTTGTGATTGGTGGAGGGGGAGCCAGCAAAGGACATTGATGACTGTCAAATGTCCTTATAGGGAGATTTTGCAAGCAGGGAGGAGTGAGCGATGCGTTACTTGTTTGTGAAAGTACAGTGTGGTGTGAGCGCAAGGGAGCTAAAGGTCATGAGGCATCTAAAGTCAAACATTTGTAAAAATAATCTAATGTAAAGGTGAGAATACAGTAATGTTGTGATGAGCCTCTATCTTGCTCCCCCCTGTAGTCTACAGGGGGGAGGAGTGAGTGCTCATCCTTTGTTTAGGATAAAACATTCAGAATGTAGAAAATGTTCCACAAGAAGGTTTTTCTCTGACTGGATATACTGACTTTTATTTTTTTATTATTTGACATAGTAATGTGTAGATGACAAGCACACGT